GTGTGTGTGTGTGTGTGTGTGTGTGTGTGTGTGTGTGTGTGTGTGTGGTTGCGTATGGGGAATGTTCATGGAGGCAAACAAAGAAAGGAATGACTTGAACTTGAATTAACTGCACATTTACCTGAAGTGGGATGTCCAGTTTACAATATGTTGTTTCAAAGTTTTAAATAAACAAAAAATAAAGACATCCTGGGCGTAGGTCTTTGTTGGTAATTGACTTTTTACATTTACTAATCTGCGTGCTCAAAGTCAGTATTTTACGATGCACTGTGCTCTACCGGTAGATACATTTGTGCCTACTTCAACTTCTTCAATATCTAATGCAGTTGTAGTTGTCATTTGTGTGTATCATTTACTATCATTGACAAAGGCTTTCTTATCTGATCAAAAATATGGGAAATTATGTTAAAGTTTGATATTTCATCTTTGCATTCGTTTTTATCAGTTGTTGGCGTGGATCCACACTAACAGGGTTCAGAGCTACGTTTCTTTCCGCTGTGCTTTGTAGAAACCTGCCGTCACTGCGTGTTGAGGACGTTGTTTTTCTCTTGCAACAAGACAAATTATGTTTGTATACAAAAATCAATAAAGAAGCAGGTAAGAAGGACCAAAAGTCACAAATTGAACATGAACCTTGAATACCAGATATATTTCTAAATCTATGTAGGGTGTGATGCCTGATTTTACTCATGCACATTAGTAACTGTAAAAAGGTCAGTCGGGGTGTGCAGCTCTGGTGTGTGGTCAGTCTGATATGCTTTAATATTTCAATACACTGACAACAATGTGATACAGTAAACTGCAAAACCCTAAGAACACATTGCGCCTTTATCACGACACAGTGCAATTTATCCATCCATCCATTTTCTTTACCCGTTTGTTCCATTTTGGGTCACGGGGGTCGCTTGTGCCCATGTCCAGCAATCACTGTGCGAGGGGCGGGGTACACCCTGGACGGGTCGCAAGTCCATCACAGGGCCACATAGAGACAAACGAGACAAACAACCATTCACTCTCTCACTCACACCTAGGGACAATTTAGAGTTACCAATCAGCCTAACATGCATGTTTTTGGTCTGTGGGAGGAAACCGGAGCACCCGGAGAAAACCCACGCATGCACGGAGAGAACATGCAAACTCCACCCAGAAAGGCCCCTGGACCGGGGTTTGAACCAGGGACCTTCTCACTGAGAGGCAGCAGCTCTACCAGTTGCGCCACCGTGCTGCCTACAGTGCAATTTAATGTTTTTTTTATTAAAACAATGCAAATTGTTGCAATGCGGCAAAGCACAGGAATAACCTTCATGCAGTTTAAAGCCTAAATGTTTATTAATATATAAAAATTAACTGAAGTTCTCCTTGGCCAATTTAATTTGAAGTATCGAGTTAGAGTACAGATCAAGGCTATGATTGGTGGTGCAGTGGCTCATATTCTCAGTTCCCTATCAGACACTGTCTGGTTTTAGGTTGTGTCAGTTGTGCAGCAGTACAAATACTATACAGCAGGAATTTGAGATTCAATTCTTATGTGTTCAACAGGCTCGGAAGTTACAGGCCCAGCTGCAGTTTGCTCTGGAGTCGGGCGATAAAGGATTTGTTAACAGATCTCCCAGCTAGCACCAGACATTCTGCATGGAGCCCACAGATGCTGTGTCCATGCACCGATACAGACTTAAAGCAGTACTGCTTCAGTAATTAGACCAGATATGAGCAAATTCAGTCTCCATTTTCCTCTCTTCTTCTCGTCCACCCTGCTAATGTGTTTCCAGTCACATGACGAGTGAGGTGTAAAAACTGAAGCTCAGGGCTAAACAGTGGCTGAGCTAAAGAGGTAGTTATAACATGGAAAAATGGAAGCCAGTATGGAAAATGTTTGTGCAACAAAGCCAGCGCAACTTTATATTTGTAGATTAAGGGCATGCTTGGCATTTTTTAATTATTTTTCCTGACAGCATTGCCCGAGCCATCATTGTCTGTTAGCAGCGTTAACATTATAACTAGCAGCACAGCGACGTGACGCATATCTGAATCATAATTAAGAGCACTACACTGACATAGAGTTAGCCTCATATCATTCAAAAGTAACATAATTAATGGAGATGACTGTGTATTCTGTCTGAAAGAGTACAAGGAAACCATCTAATGCATTGACAGCAACAACGTAGTTTGTTTTGTCATCCCCATTTAAAGCACAAATTGCCTCGGCACTCTTTGACAACATCAGCTTTAGGCTTTACAAACAGTTGCATGGAGCAATTCATCAATGTCACTTTCACCTTCAGCTGAGTGAAGGATTTTCAGGTATTACACCAACAAAGACCAATTTTTAAGCAGTTTTCTAAAAACTACTACATAGACATGAGAGATGACAGTGCCTGCAGGCTGATTGTTTAATGTTAACAGGAGGTACAGTAGGTTTATACGTAAGTCTGCTTTTCAGTAAAACACAATCTACAGTTTTCCTTTATACCTCCTTCTGCTGCCTAAACAGACGGTTAATTGGAGTCCATCTGTTTACTTTATGTGACCATTGCAGAGGACATAAACAATGATTTAATAGTCGCTATTATCAACTTTTAATTTGCCATGTGTACAGATAAAACAATTTGTCTCTGCTTCAGTACAATGAGGGAAGTGTAGCTGCCAACTTTACAACCTCGGACTTCGTGTGTGTTTGCTCCGCAGCTGACACTTTGTCCTCAGACACTGTCAAAGTACTGACAAATGAGATTTACAATGACTACATATTAAATTCGTTACACCAGTAACGACAAACTAAAGTCCTGCAAATGTACCACTTATTTCGCATAAAGAAAACAATGACCTTATTGAATAATACACCTCATTATATGTGGCCATGATAATTTATGCTAATTCATAAGGAACATATCTTGGTAATTTCCTCCACATCACTTTGGTAACCAATTACCAATACTTTTTGTGTACAGAAGGGAAACGTTGGCCTCTGACTACTTCATCAGGCTTGTTTTGTACTCACTTTTGTCTGCTTTGTACTCACAATGGCAGCTGCTACAGTTAAGGTGTTTTATTCTGCTGACCCCCGCTGAAGGCAGACATATGGTAGTCTCTGTCTGGCCATAAACTTGCTCTTGCCCCACCCATAAGTTCTAATCTGCTCATTTAACAAAATGTCATACACATACACATCATCATCAGACTCCATGTCGCATCACCCAAGCTCTAAGGTCAAGGTCACAAATCAAGGTCAACGTTTACACATGGTCTTTGCTTTTATGAGCCATTGCTATAGATTGTTTGTTGATGGGCGTATAATGCACCACACGTGGTACTTTTGTTTTAAGTGGGTCTGCGTGTACACACTAAAGCACCCGTACTACTACTTGGTAAATTATTTTATCCTGTATCGTGTTGCACAGCTTTGAAATAAAACACAAATGTTATATACCAAACTGTGCATACACAAAGCTCGTTTGAGAATCTGTTCATGAAATATAAATATAAATATAAAAGGTTCAGTAAAGTATGCAGTCATATACATTTCTCCTTACTGGCTGCTATTTTAAAACTCGTGGAAAATAGTATTTATGTTAGATCTTTTTCTACCATTTGTATTTATTTTATGTTTTTATATTTATAAAGTATTTACATTGGGGGTTTTTTTGGGGGGGGGACTAAATGTTTGGAAACTTTTAAGCAGTGGCCTGGGTCACTTTTTTATATTGTCATTGAAATGAAGCTGTGGCTCGTTGTAACTTGTCCATTTTAGAATTCAACCAGAAAATAATTAGTTTTGTCATTCAGTACGAAGGAGAGTAATTTATACAAATGTATGCGATAATTTAGTAAATGTTTCTGCTGCTCACTTTTCAGGGGCCACAACCTCGGAGTTACAAGACTGAAGCACCTATTTAGTCCTTTATATGCTATAATTTTGGTGAGCTTGCTCAATTAAAACTGTAAGTCTACCAACATCTTCCATTGATTTCTTACGTTTCCCGTTCCCATTCTCAAATTTCGAGGCAGACTTACAGGTGAGGTTTTTGTGTATGTAGGCTGAATTGACATATATATGAATTGTCTTCATATTAATAAGCTTTTACTACGGTTGTCTCAAAGATTTTTAGCTGAAAGAATTTAAAGTTCGGTGCTGCTTAAACTCAATTCAGTCAAATAAGTTAGCGATCTGAAGGCAGCTGTGTTCACAGTCAGTAGTTACGTGATCAGTTGTTTCAACGTTCAAGAAATTCTACTTTTGTTTTGCTTCCATAACTGTGTTCAACAGGTGTGTGTGTGGATGTATGTTGGTGTGCTTTACCTCTGGCCACTCTGTGGGGTATTTTTTTATGTTTTGTAGACGCTACAAGGTGGCCATCAGCTCAGATTTATTGTGGATGTCCTCTCCTACCATCCACAAGCTGAAAGAAAGATCAGTTTCTGTGATTATGGTGTTGCCTTACTTTACTATGCTTTCTTACCTACATAAAAGAACAATGACTATTATTGCCCTGCCTTTGGTTTAGAAAAGCACTGCTGATTGTTGAGTACTTTATATATATATATAAGTGTAATTGTCCCAACTAGCCACATAATCAACAAACTGGGGATAAATATTAATTATCCAGAGAATAAACCCTGTTGTGTTTAAAACACCAACATAAGGATTATGTTTTAATTTTCAAAAATTTTATGACAGTGTAACAAAATAAATTGAGGGCAGCTGGAGTTATGTTTCTTCATGCTTATATGTTTAAACTCTGCAGGTCTCAGACTAGACTTATGAAATAATCTTGATCAAAAAGCAAATATATTTTGAAAAACAAAAAGTCCAGTTTCTTTTGATTAAATTGTTAGGATTACCATGTCATGAATCACTGGGAATTTACACCAGCATAATTTTATGACCTATTATTCATTAGTCTTTATCTATTAAATTACTTTTTCCACATAAATAAATTAATCTGAACTAATTATTAGTGTGTTGCCAGAAGATGAATATTGATTAAAAAGTAATAATATAAATTATCAGGGCAATTGTTGGATTTTTTTTCTCCAACCCGTTTATTTAAATCATTAGATTGCAGTTGTTTCCAAATTCAAAAAATGCTAATGTTTATTCATATTTTTTTGTTTCTTTGTGGAAAAAATAAACTGTTCTGCTTGCACTATTAGGTTAAATTGCAAACTTAAAAACAAAGACTAAATTATGTACTTTATTTAGAAGAGCAATTAAAAGGTTACAATATTAGATCCCTGTGGAACGCCAGATAGACGATTTGCCATTGGAATAAAGCCTTTTTCACCTTAATTCAAAGGAACTGTGTGTACCAATTAAATAAATAGTTGCTGACTTAAATTATCCTAGTATCTAGTAAAAAAAGCATCTCTGGCTGAAGGTTAAATTAAATTAAAACATAATATGTAGAAATCAGAGGTATAAATATCTGGGGGCACTCCAAAGAGCTTTAATTTGTATAAGTAATCTTTATATGTGTAATTCAACACCGTCTATTCTTATCTCTATTTTTGTCTCTTTTGTTTTTATTTTTTAATAGTGCCACTACTGTACTTTGATGAAATTGACTGATGGAGCATTGTGTGATTTAAAAAATATAACTTTTTAACAGAACTTTGTCACTGTTAGAAATTATCATTGACCTTTGTTTTAATGCCAGTCCTTTTTTCACTATGTCCTGACATCAAATGCCAACACAAATCCAGTGTTCTTACTTTGTACAACAAATACTAAATCCCCAAACCTTTTTCTCTACTATGAGCCATTTTCAACTGTTAAGGCATACAAAATTGTCTTGATGGTGCATTAAACATTACGGATTTCTCAGAATGTTCGCAGGGCTTTTTGTTGTCATGACTATATGAAGAACAGCAAAAACAAGTGACTAAAAAAAAGAAAAAAGTGACTTTGAGGTTGTTAAATTGCTGATTTTGTTTGTACACTTTGAAAGCGCCACCACAGTGTAACTAAAATATGTGTCTGGAGATCTCAATAAAAGTAACATCTGTAAGAACATCTGCTCACCTTTCTGTACATGTTAATAAACATGACTTTAGTTGCTTAAATAGTGCATGGGAAGAACCACTGCTTGTATAAAAACTCGGGGTGTAACGGTATATATATGCTAAAGTCACATTTCGGTTGAGTTCATTTAAAGGAAGGCTCGGTTCGGTTAATTTTCGGCACGAAAAAGGCCAAAATGAAGACTTACAAAAAGTTTATTTTGAAAATATGCCAAGTAAACAAGTTCAGTCTTTACAGACGTCTTAGCTGGAGGTGATCTGGTGGATGAAGAAGACTCAGCTCTTTCTCGTTGACATCCTCAGACTGCAAACAGCACAAAGAGATTTAAAAAATGATTTAATAAGATTATAATTTTAAATTTAAAAAGTTAATTAGATCACAATAATACAACAACAATACCTGTTCTTGCACGGTCATCATTTCTGTTATGGGGTTGTTGAATCTCTCGATCATCATCATCATCAGGGCAGGGCTTTAAATCTGGGGTCAGGCTTGTTGACAATATCAGTTTTTGCTTTTTCATAAAGTGCTGGTACAACTTTTTGGCTGAAGTGTTGATGTGATGGGATGTCGTAGTCAGCGAGGCTCAAGTCTTTAA